GAGCTCATCTGACTGCACTCTGGGTTCTTGGTCATGTGGAAGCTGCTACTTGAATGAACATAAATATGAGAATAAAGCCCACTGCAGAACTTCCCCTTCAACACAGAGAGAGCGGACATTATTGGGGCAAAGCTGGGATTCATAACCCCTCTCTCTTATGTGTGTTAATCACTCTCTTGTGGACTCATAATGCCAACATGATGAAACATCATTCCAGAAATGATTCCTGTGGGAAGAAAAGAAAGGTCGTTCTCCTAGTGGGGCTACTTCAGGAAGCGGCATTATTCCAGAGGCATTGTTGGGATGCAGTGCAGTGGAGAAGGCGGCTGGCTGTAGCCATAGGGCCATGTTATGATGTATCGCCGTCCTCAGGTATATTCTTTTCTGGGAATAGAGTTGGGCGGTAGAGCCACCGCTGGCAGGAGCAGCAAGCCTTCTGCGGTGGGGGTGGGATGGGCTACTTCGAATGGGAAGGGAAGGCACCTTCCTCCCAATTTTCAGAATCCTCCCTCCAAATATGAACCAAATCCTTGAGGAATGTTTTTGTTCCACTCTATGAAACGTGTAAAACTCACTGGGCCAAATGCTTGCGCTCAGCACAAGTTCAAACCAGTTGTTCAAACCCAGAAATCTCACATCCTAGCATTTGGCCTTCATTTGAACAATGGCCTGAAGGTGTTTGGGCAAAAGACAGGTAGCTGTGTAATAAATTCCCAGAGAGAATTAATCTGAGAGTGGGTGTCACCTGTGCTACAGTAATTATGCTGCTGATTTAAAATTGGCTCAAAGGGAGTAGCTCGATGTTGTGTGTTCCAAAGGGCCAAACTAGATGTCATGTTACAATATGTTTTTGCCCTTAACATGCAGAGGTTTAAAAACATTCATGGCATCATCTGGGAGTTTCAGAGGCCCTGTGCGAGAATTTGTCGTGGTGGTTATTAGAACGGGCGGTTGTGGTTGTGTGGGTGTGGGTGTGTTTCCCTATTGAAGTAGTTCCATGTCAGACAACAGCACCCTCAGAGAGTATAGGAGTATAGCTTGGCCCTCTTGCAGCATTTTGTTAATTTTGGTATTTTTCCCCTTGAACAAATGACGCAAGGGCTGATCCAATACGATTACTGTGATCTGTCACACTTTTACACTAAGCTGCCACCAACCATTCCCTTTAAGAAGTCACACAGACCAGGGATGGATTTTTAAACAATAAAAGGAATAAGGTTTATTTAAATACACACAGGGAAAAATAAACAATCAGGTGAATAAAATAAAGTAACGTGGCTTATCCTCACTCATACATACACACAGTTTGGTTCACCCAGAACCCTTAACTTGAAGCACAGACCCTGAACCTATCAGTTCTGGCTAACCAACAGACACCTGAACCTATCAGGTTGGTACTCTGACACACAGTAGTACCCTGTCTGACACACAGACTCCCACAACAGCTTCTTCTTCCCAGCTGCTGCTTCGTCACAACCCAGTGTCTCTCAGTATCTCCCTCTCACCACACAGGCATCACATATTTATACAGTACAGCCCCTCCTCCTGATGTCCCGCCTTCCACTCCCCATAGGATGGAACTTTCCCTCCAAACCCATGACAGACAGGTAACATCAGTGCTGTATGTAACAGCAAGGTCTGATCCAATACGATCAGTACCTTTCCCTTGCTTTTCTCTATCTATTTGTTCTTCCTCAAAGGGTGGCGACGTCGTTGTTCCCGGACAAATCAAACTACTGTACATACAAGACTGTGAGAGACAATTGTCCAGCACTAAAATTTACCAGCTACTAACCACACAACTAACCACCAAATATTAAAAGGAATTACAAAAGCTCATGAAAAACATCCCGGGAAATATACAGATACATGAACGAATGTAGCAGTTTTTGTTTCAAGGGGTGAATTTTAGCATTATGATGCTTTGTGTGAAGAGTTCATTTCCACATTGGACGTTCCCAGTCACAAGCCTTTAATTAGGTCTCAGAATTAGATTTAAAAACAGGGTTACCTAACTTACAGCGTTACTGACCTGCCTTACAGGATTGCTTAAAGAATTGCAGCAATATACGCGAAATGCTTTGGATGCTTAAAAAGAAATATTGAACATTGGTTAATGTAATTATTACTTACATTCTGGACTGTTTTAAACTGCTCAAGGTCCTGTATGTGCATGCCATAACCACATGTAGCAGTTTCATGGGAACTGCATAGTGAAACCTTTGTACCATTCAGTGATTGGGTATGCACAGGGTGGTGGTGGAAGAGAAGTTTGCAGCCTGGATAGGATGGCACCAAATACAGCGTCAGGTCCACTCATTCTACATGTATGACACAGCATCACTCTGCTATTGCCCGTCCTGTCTAATGCATGTGTAGGTAGGCTTTGGTGCCATTATGAACAGGGTGATGCAGGCCATCATGGCACAATGGGTACAGATTTTGGGATGAGGCTGAAACACTAGGACATTTTGCTTTTCGACCTAACTGATCTCCATTATCACACTCCTCGTGTTTCATTGTCCTCTTAGCTGTAATCTTCACTGTAGCTGGTGTGGGGTATGGGTCTTCCCAGCAGTAAAATGCACCATTGTGAACTCTCCATGTTGCACACTTCAAAGTATGTTGCACTTTTTGGCCCTGGGGGAGCAATGGAGAACTTTGGACCGAAGTGTACGTTTGCTAGAACTGGTCTGACTTGTGACAAGTACCTGCACTTCAGAACTTGGCCAGTGCTGCTGGCCACTTTTCAGGGCATGAGGACCTGGGGCTCTGCTTGGTAGCGCTCTCACCCCACTGAGCCTGGTCAGCAGGGGTGGCCCATGGCCAACAGCAGTCGGAATAGGTCTTACAAAGGCTCTGGCATGACAGTTGACTTCTTTCCCTTACAAATGGGATCAAAATACTTTGAAATCACACTTTTGTTAAAACGCAGCCCAGCTACCAGACCGTGAGTAAAGTTATGTGGAGAAGTCTCTCCATAGACAGCAGTAGAATACAATGAAAAAGACACCAGAGTCTGACACATCTCTGGAAAACTGTCGTAACAAAACATCTTGTACCATCTGGGAGTACAACATGCACATCCTGACACGATGGATATTTCTTCCCACTCCTGCCCTCTGCTTCCACAAACAGTTTTCATGGTTTCAATATGTACCCATCCTACGCACACACTGTGTTCTACTTTTCTACTGAAACAATATCTGTCAGCCTAAACATTCAGCTTATGTTGCTTCACCTTCTGTTTCTGTTTCTGCTGCTTGCATGGGCTCTTTTCTTACTCTGGTGCGTTTGCTCTCCCACACCCATCTCCTTTCCTCTTCTATTTTTTTTCTTTTTTCCTCTCTTACCCAATATAAATAAACAATCAGGATTCTCAGCTCTTAAACTGGCTCTACTGCTCTGCCTTTAACAGCAATCTGACTGGCAACTATTTAGTAGATGAAACTCTCCCTGTCTTAGCTTACGCTGCTAAGATTTTGTATCCCGGGTTGCCATTAAAAAGTACTGGAACATATATATTTTTAAGTTGAGACCCTGCATCTGTTCTTTCAAATCTCATGTGTTCTCTCTCTCTCCTTACCCCCAGTCTCTCTCTCTCTCTTTAAAAAGAAGTTTAGGGCTTGGGATTTATTAATACAGTAGTCAACTCATCTGTTGAGTGTATTTTCTTTTTAAAATAAATTGATATAATGGCTTTGTAAAGAAAACTACAAAAATATCACAAAAATATGAATCAATCTTCCCACAAAAATCAGGAGACCACTGCTAAAATTTTAAATGCACCTTCCATTACTCTCCTTTCTGCCTCTATTAGATTGTATTTTTAATGACTTTTTAAAACCCATCACGTGGCCTGTAGTTCTGGGAGATCAGACAAAGCAAAAAGAGAGAGCTAAAAATGTGACACTCTAAAGACTAACTGCTATATTTTAATGTGAGTTTTTGTGGACATGTCCATTTCCTCAGACGCAAGAGTGAGACTATATGACTGTCATATTTACACAGGACCCCATGACTAGGTGGGGGATACAGATAATGGACCACAGTGACAATAATGCTGGTCTTATCCCTAAAACAGCCGTAATATCAAAGAATGTTTCAAGATTCTGTAGAGGCATTTTGGATGTCTCGCAATTTGCCAGGACTTGGGAATTTCAGTTCTATAGAGGAACCAGCAGCTCTTTAAATAAAACCTCAGCTATTGTGGCAAAGGCTTATGTTAAGAAGATAAATAGGAAAAGCTGTTTATGCGGACACAGGTTCCTATTAAGAAGACACAAGTCAGGTAGGGAGTCACGAGGACTCTGCTATGTAGTCAAACGACTAGATAATAAATAAATATGTGCAGAAAAACAATACAGGTGTAATCCCAAACCAGAATAGCCTCTTCTACCCTGCCCCAAATTGGTCCCTTACCTTGCATTCGCAGGTTTGATTTGTTATTTGTTCTACTTAGCAAAAGCCATGCACAGATGTTACAAATGTTGTTTAAAGTTAAGGGGCTAGATTGCTTATAGAGAGGATGTATTAAGATAAGTCATATCCTTGTGCTTTAATATCTGGATTGTCCTCTAAAACATGGGGTGCTGTAGACCTGGGTCTCTGTGAAGCCTCCAGCGCAAATTCTCCAGTCTTGCTTTTCCTCTCTCGTCTCTGGGCTCCTTCCTTCATCGCTGCCGCCCTTTGCCTGTCCTTTGCCTGTGGTGAGAAGAGCAGCAGCACAGTTCCTGCTGAAAGAAGCCATTCTTCTTGTCAGGAAAGGGTCATAGGCAAGAGGCACACGGCTGGCGGCAGCAGGTGCTCTGCAGCAGCACAAGGATGGAGTGGGACGCAGCAGGAAAGGAACAGAGAAGCCGGCAGAACCGACCGATGCTGCTGAAAGGGGCAGGGCCTAGCCATGGGACCTGAGCCAGCATCCCTGAGCTATAGCTCAGCAAGATGAGCTTACAGCGTGGGGAGTATTTCTGACTCTGTGCACTGTGGCGGTGTGCTTGTGCCAAAAAGCCACCTACATTTTGCTGTTGTTGTTGTTGTTGCCCTTCCTGGGACAGCCTCGCTTGTTATTTGATCCTGCAGAAGCTCAAGGACCTTGGCTTACTCTGCCAGGGTCTAGGCTCGACTGGGGGATGGAGCCACAACAGCAGGAAGAGGAAGAGGTGCCGAGGAAGAGCAACACTCAGCTGTGGTGCCCAGAAAGAAGAAAAGGGGAGCATCTCCAAGAGGAGGCATCTCCTTTCAGCCAGGAAATGCTGGCATCCGGGGGACAGAGATGCCAGAAAGAAGGTGAGAAGCAAGATCGATGGAGCGCAGAGGCCAAGCTTCAGCTGCCAAAAGGTTGTAGAAGAGAAAGCTCATTCTCTGAGGAAGGGAGATCCAAAGAAGAAGAAAGCCAGAGGCCCACCGAAAATGGCTCTGGCCGAGGCAAAGAGGCAGGCATTGCTTCCCCAGGGGAAGAGGTGTCCAGGCTGAAAAGATCAGTGAAAGAGGACCGGCAGTCTGATGGAGAGAGGAGGAATTATGAGGAATCCCTGATGAGGGAGCTCTCTGAGAAGGTGCAGAAGGTGGTGAAGAACAGTAGCTGGTGGGAGAGGCATGGCATTGATGACACCATTCTTGCGCTGAACTTTCTCATCCTACCAGTAGGTAAGGAGACTCCTGAGGATGCTTGTTAAACTTCTGGGGTGGAAACAGAACCTCTCTGAGTCGTCCTGACTAGTTTCTAAGTTATTAATCTGCATTATCAGCTTTTGCTCTTAAGTACTGTGCTGTGGTCTGAGAGGGTGGTACTGGATAACTGTGCCTTAGTGGCCCATCAGTATCTGACAACTTGTCCTACATGGGAACATCTTTGGGACACTTGCCTGCCCACTGAAAAAGGAGCTACAGTAGGATCTGGCCCTTTTTTCCCCCTAACTCCAGACTGACAACCCTTAACATTCTTGTGTTGCTACATTAAGCTGCAGTGGGAAATGTTTTGTTTTGATCACCCAGGACCAAGTATACCCAGAGCAAAAGTCTGTATGGGGGCAGGGTCCGAATGTTGGAAAACCCATGTTCAAGACCTTTATGTGTCAGAATTTACTCCCCAGATGACCTGAGGCCTTCCTCTCTCTCAGGCTGCCCTTCTATGTAAAGGTGTTGTGGGGATATGGTGGGGAGGAGGAGACCCATGTACACTGCCTTGAACGCACTGGAGAAAGGGCGGAATTGCAAATGCAAGTAACAAACAAATAAATGGCCCGATGTACAAAAGAAAAGGGCTGGCACCTTCCCAGTATGGACCAATAATACAGGCTTTTGAAAGTGATGCTGCATCTAGGATTGGGACATCTAGCAGCCCAGGTGTGGATAAAAGACGTCTCCATGGGAAATCCGTTGCAGCTATAATGGGCCTGTGCCAAATGGCAGAGGAAGGATAACCGTTATGGGTAGATCAAGCATGCAGATCCCCTGAATTTTCTTTAAAGGGACTGTGTGGCCTACAGAATACTTGTATAATAGAACATTTCAGTTAAGAGGGAGTGGCAACTCCTAACTTCTTCAGGGTTATCTTTTTTTCTCCCCTCTGCAACTTGACCCTTTTTTTGGTCACAAGGCATTGTCATAAAGTCAGTGCTATCTGGCATCAAGGTCAGCAGTGGAAGAGTATGTGCCAAAGAAGGGCAAGCGCAGTCAAGGGGAAGGACGCTGCAGCAGAAGAGCAATTCCCCCAAAAGCTCCACCAGAGACCAGATTTTCAGCTCCTTTCCTTTCTAGACGGCTCCTGAAATAGCAATGCAATGAACCATACATGTTAGAATATGCTACCTTATTACATTGCTAAGCAGGTTATTACATGCCACAGCCTTCCTTAATTTGGTATCTCCCTCCCCCCTCTCACATGCACACCCAAACAAGTTTTTGGGAAAATTGACTTTTTCTTATGAACCAAACTGTGCAGTAGAATTCTGCCATGCTTTTTATTAAAATTTAATAGAAAATAATCAGAAGAGTCCATAATTTAAATGGCCATTAGGTTATACAGCTTGTTGGATGACTTGATCTATATTATCCCTCTGGTTTAGCTGCATCTCAAGGTTGTTGTGAAGATAAAATGCAACACTACACAGAACTCTTTCAAGGTAGGATAGGATATTTATCTGTTTATTTAGAGAAAGAAAATAAAAATAAAAGGAATTGGACGGACAGACATTCTTGTCGTGTGTGTGTGTGTGTGTGTGTGTGTGTGTGTGTGTGTGTGTGTGTGTGTGTCTAAGACTTTAGCAAAGGATGTTGCCTTGTCCTTGCATCTTATGAATATTATTTAATCTTTTCAGGTGTGGACAAGCTAGTCAGTTCTCCATGTGCTGACTCAAGAGGGTCACAACTTTGCAGGAACATTGCTGTTTAATAAACATGTTCTTCTTACAAATATTACCATAGAACCATGCTGTGCCATAACCAGAGTGTTGCTCATTTTTAGTTATTTTCAGGTTGTACACTCGGTCTTATTTATACATTTCTGTTCATTGCCCTATAGGTATGTGTCCATGGATTATTCTAGCCATGCTGGGCTGGTTCTGTTCTGTACTGTATAAGCAGGGCTGCATGTCTACAATGGACTCTTTTCTCTCTAACACACACCCCCTTTTTTAAATATGGAGTTGTGAATGGATATTGCTTTGTAATATTGCATCAGAATAAAATCCAATGAATAAGCAATTGCCAGCTAGAATGCAAGCTCACGTGACAATTATTTGCCTCCTAGACTATGGCTGAACTGGTTTGTCTCAAGAGCTGATCTTGCAAAGGCGGAGGTGGCCAAGGGCGTGAACATAACCCTTATCTAAAATCTTCTGGGTTGATAGTTCAGATATTCCATACGCCCTACATGTTCTTTTTGGTATGTTTCCCTGGTTGTGTGAAACACATAGGATTTAGCAGAAGGTTTTTGAGCAGGAATTAGGAACCTCTTGTCCCTTCAGATGTTTTGAATTCACAGAGTTCACAGAAGTCTCAGTTAGCATAATTGATTGTAAAGGACTGGTTGGCTTTTTAGTCTAAAACATCTGGAGAGTCAAAGGTTCTCTACTTGTTGAGTGTCCCTGTAAATGTTATGAGACACATGGGGCCATTGATTTCCTCATGCCCTCCCTTATAATGTCTACTGAAATGGAATAGCCGGCGTGGCAGCCTCTTGGTGAGAACTGTCCTTCCCTTCCCAAGGATGGATGGTAGGCAGAGGAAGAGACAGCACTGTCTCCTAGGCTGAGGCGTGTGTCCCACTGGATGCCATAAACAAGAGAAGGGAATAAGCACCGAAGGGCAGTAGTTTGTCCCTCTCCTCACACCAAATCAAGAAGTTGGGCACTTCTTGTTTGTTTCTTGTTTTGTTTGTTTCAAAAGCAAAAAAATAAAATAAAATTTCCAGGCACAGATTTGGTCCCCAAGTTCCCTGACCAGAAGAGATTTATCTGTGTCGAAAATGCATTTGAGTAGCCATTAATTCAGTGTTCAAGCTTTTTAACATCTCAAAGAGCAGATGGCTCTTATCTCCAGACTTTGTCCACCGGAGGGGAAAGTTCAGCCTGCATTCTTGCTGTGAATGGGACCCAAATATTTCAAAAGACCTCACAATCATGCCACAGAACAGGGTTAAGTCAGCAGAGCCCTGCCTGCTTGCTACATTATTTGACTGTATCTATTCTTTGACTAAATGCTTTCTCTAAATTTCTAGGGTTCCTGCTTCTACATTCTGATAACCTTTCTGCTTTCGTGTTGGGCATCGCTATCCTAGGGGTGGCACATCACACATTCTCAGTGAAAGGGAGCCATCTGGCCAGTCACAATGCTCTCGTGGAGTCGAAGTCATGGGGGAAACTGTGGGCCATATTCTTCATTGAGGTGGGCTTTCATCTGCTTCCATTTCATAGGAGTAACCTAAGGGTCCTTTCTCTGATTCATTTAAGTTATTTATATTCTTGTAGAAAATCATGGACGACTTGAGACACATCTGCACTGGCCCTTTTCATGTGGGCAGGAGTGGTCTAAATAAGATCACTCAAAGTCCTCACATCCAAGTGGCATATTGACCTCAAGTGACCCTCTGGCTCCTTTTGCTGTCAATTCAACACTTCCACTGCTCCTCTGCAAAGGGGCAGAGGAAGTGAAATTATTATTCTTTTCCATGTGCAAGATCTTTGCTGATGCTATGAATCACAAATTAGATTAAATTTAATTTTTTTTCTTTGTGCTCATCAAGAAACTACTCATAGGCAGATAATTTTTAAAAAATCTAAGCGATTCAGCACATCAGTGTTGACCTAGCAGATGCAAAAAATAATTTAACTTCTCCTACTCTCTGCAGAGAAGCAGGGGAAGTGTTCAATTGACAGCTGAAGGAGCTGGAGAGTTACTTGCAGTCAATACGCCCCTTGGATATGAAGACTTCAAGATACCCTATTTAGATAACTCCAGCCCACACCTCAGGAGAGGGGCAAAGAAAGTGTTCAAATTGCTGATATCCTGAAGTGGTTCATTTATTAGGCAACTTCATAATATCATACATTCAAACTGGAAAGAACCTTGGCAGCTTTGATGGCTACAAGGCTTGATTTTAGCCCATTTCCAGCAATCAATATGCACTGGGAACAAACTAAATTTAGAAGTGGTTTTTATTGCCATCAGGTTACATACGTAGAGACCCACAGTGGATCTGAGGGAACAGGAAGGGGGGAGAGCATTGGAGGGGGCAGCCATTGAGGTGGTGCTGGGTAGCGGAAGGAATGGTGGTGGGGGTAGAACATGCCCACCTAGGAGAAGAGAGTTTAGATATTTTACATCTATCCCCTCTTCTAGTCCTACCCCCAACCAGATGGCATCAGGTGACCATATCAGCAAACCCTCAAGCCACATGTTGCTATTGATGAATGCCAGGTCAGTACAAAATAAGACTGCCCTCATCCATGATGTAATTCTGGATAAGGGTGCTGACCTGGCGTGCATTACTGAGACCTGGGTGGGAGAGGAGGGTGGTTTTCCTCTCTCCCAGCTGTGTCCACCTGGGTCCTTGGTCCAGCACCAAAGTCACTCGGAGGGTCAGGGAGGGGGAGTTGCTATAGT